TCACTAATAAACCATTAAATAGATTCAAATTAGCTCAATTAAAAATAACATGTGCCTAAACCAACGTCACGTTACAAATTCATGATACCTCCCATAAATTATCAGAACAGCACAGCTAAATGTGCTTCGCATATTAAGTTTAAATAATTTTATTCAATTATATTGGTAATTTATTGCCAATCTGGTTTCCGAAATTAGTCATTCTATTCGATGACGCAAATCCAATAGTGCCCAGCAGTCTATCTTATCTCAAAATTATTTAATTGTGACCAGAATATATTTTCAACGTTGTTGTGAATTAAATATTTTATTTTTAACCTTCAAGACGTTGGAGTAGTAAATCATTTTTGGATATGATAAAATATGTAAATGAAGCTAATAATAATGATTCAGTTATAATTTTCATAGATAATTCAGAAAACTTAGGTGTCCATGCTTGAAAAAAAATGAAAATATGTTTCCAATAAAAATAGTTCTACCCAGGCATTTCTGCATGAATTAAAAAATTTACCATCACTAATAAAAATTCTAATAATAAATCTAATTCTAAAATACATCTGCTGAATTGCTTTCAGAAAAACGATGTTGTTTAGGAGTTAATTCATCAGAATAGCTCATAGAACTGTAAAGTTCTTATTGCTATTCAAAAATTAGGAAAAATGCGTTTGGATGTGGATTTAAATGGTCTAATGTCTAAAATGTCTATTATAGTATTAATAAAAACAAAGTACCATATAAATTCCGACATGCAAAAATTTCCACAAGACAATTTCACGGAAATTTATGATAATTCTACTATTGACACGAGTATATATAACGCGATTAATTTGAAGGTCCCATTTAATTTACAAAAAAACTACATTTTTGCGTTGATATTTTATACAAATAACTTATATTTTCATTAAGTATAATATAAAATCAAATTCAACATAATTTATAATCAACTGCGTTTACAAAATTTTAATTAATTATAAAGGTTACTGAATATTAGTTAATTAAATTATGATTTAGTGATGAGTTAATTTTGAAACACGTTTTTCTGTCACAACTCGCAAATATTGAAATTAATTAGTGATGGGTGGCATTATGTAGATTAAGAAATTGTATGAAGTTCAGAAATTAACAACAATTCTTAATACGTAAAAAATATTTATCAAAAGTTAAGAGTGCTATGAACTCTTGTGTTGACTTCAAATGGTTGTCCTATCTCTATGTGATTTATTACCACTAATTCCTTTAAGAGCAATTTTCACTTATAAATATATTGATGTCTATATTTTCAAGAAAAACCAAACCAAGGAAGCTTCAAACCTGAAACCTCTGATTCAGGTTTGAAGTCCAAAGAAAGCTTCAAACCTGATACCTCTGATTCAAGTTTGAAGTTCATAGCTCTAACCACTGGCCCATGATGGAGCCCTATTTGTATAGAATGTTTGGATATCATATTATAGAAAATATAGAACGATTGAATAGATATGGATCCCAATCAACACACCAAGAGAGAATTAAGATCAACGTACAACAGAGAACGTGTACTTTATCCAACAAATTCGTTGTCACCGTGCCCTTTGCCGTAGGTACTACTGGGTCTTTTACCACATTACATATTCATTTCTAGGAGACATTGAGATTTCCATATGTTATAAGATAATATGTGGTGATAACATTATATGGTGAACTTTCAATGCGGTTATCATTAACTTTCGCACCGGGCATAGTTATCCCGCGCATTGGAACAGGTTTGCCTCATGTGCGTGAACAACTCATATTATGCATAGACACTTTCAATATGACCTAAAACAACTATAGCCTTTTTTGTTTTCGAATTATGTTTGTAAACATCAAAATTGATGGTTTAAATAAAAATGTATTTCAAAAGATTCGTATTTGATCAATAGTTTCTTAGATAATACCAGAAGTCAACACAACATGCATAGCTCTTCTGATCTTGAATTGTGCTCAGTATTCCAATCAACTCAACAATTGATCAATAATCGACTATTCTGAACACTTATCTTTCGAACAAAATGCTGACGACAAATTTTGAACTTATACCTGCTAATTATGAAGAAATGGCACGACTGATTATAGCGCAAAAGTGATCAACTGAGTCTTAATTGAATTTTATCAACTCCTATTTTAGAGAAAACGTCGACGAAAAGTCAAATTTTGTCTCAAATATACAATTTTTACAATTTTGATATCAATCCATTAAGAATTCCTTGAAATCTAATTTTTCTGTGTTATTCCTTGCAATGTTGGTTATGTTCTTATTTATTAAATATACTTCTAGTAATATAAATTTGTCCAGTGTTTTGTACGGTCAATTTTGCAATTCTTACAAAAAGTACTATTTTACTCACATTATTGCTCCACCGGATGCTATCACATAACAAATAGCTCCACAAGTTCCTAAGAAATAATTTAAGTTTATTACAGGATATACGTTATGGTTGAAAATTCTTTTATAAGACTTAAAAACTCGACTTGAAATACAAAAGTATAAAAATTCATCCGGTGAACTATGATTCTCTGTCTCAGAAACTTTTAAATCAACATCCATAAAATTTATCAATATGCTTTTTTGTATAAGTATTATTTTGGAATAGAAAGTTTATTTCCTGATCCAAACTGAAATTCGCTGTCCTTACAGTTCACCTATTGGGTCATTTCCCGGTGAATCCTCAAATAAATCTTTTCCAACAAAATCTTCAAATATCCGTTATGGCTAAATCAGTAAATCTCTCATCATAAGTTTTAATTTGACAGTCCAGTGACCTAGGAACTTTCAGAAATTAAACATACAATTCACAGTTACCCGCGGCGAATCGGTCAAGGTGCGGCAAATTGAAAACAATTAATAACCGTGCAAAACCGTCGACTTTGATTGATATTAAATAAAACTTGACTAGAATATAACATTGTCTTTACGCAAAAAAAATCAATCGTTCGAACATAAAGGCGATTAAACTAGTATAGAACATTTTTGCTTCTATTCGTAGAACGTATTCGGTTGAAAATAGTACCATTCACAGAAGATTATGTAACAATACTCTTTTTATAATTGCCCCACAAATATAATTCAATTTACTCTGAAATACCTATAATCAGCAGTATCGAGTAAACCATTTTGTTCAAAAACAATATATAAATATTTTGAAGTTATCATCAAAATCTAGTTTGAGAAAAATTAAATTTTGATCAACCCATAAATGGGCAATAATAAACAATCTCTTTCTACTTACAAAAGTTGTACTACGAAAGTTGATCCCACACACCATGTGTGAATCTATCAGATAAACTTGTTCACCTATGCTTGAAGCATTAAAATTTTAAATCATATATTGGATGTACCGACGTCGTCATTTAACAATTGCTCAAGAACCACTTAGTGAAGAAAAAAAAGATTTATTGCCTTACACCTATGTCGTTACAAGCTAATAATAATCATAAATCCTACATTATTGCATGTTATATAATAAAACGAAACACGATTACTGCAAAACCAGTTAAAATTGCTGAGATAGCTATCTTAAAATTTGATACTGGAAAATGCATAGTTAAATAAGGGAAAGTTTCATATGTAAAAAATTTAGACCAAAAACAATTTAGATAAATGTAGTAGACCGATATATGAATGTAAAATTCTCAAAAGAGCTATATGCTGTAAACATTAATGACAACATATAATAAATAAACTTGTAATTGCTTTATAATCACGTTTATTCAAAATTTAAATTTACATGACTTCCATTTTCACCTTCACATGGAAACACCCGTTTATCTTTCAAATTATTATATCATGTGTATTCATTCCATGCAATCATATATTATTTTGTTAAATGAAGCTAAAATCCAAGATTCGTAAATAACACATTTTTTTTGCTTCCATCCTGTAGAGAAATGTTTTAAGTTTACCTCAAAAAAATTCAGCATCGTTCTTCACTCCATATAACAAATGTTTATTTGTCAAAAATTATAATCTAATATTGAATATTCAGCATCGTTCTTCACTTGATATAGTATAACTCAGCAGCATCGTTCAGGACTCCATACAGTACAATTTTTATTTGATAATTTTTTTATAAATATGAATTAGAACAGTTCCAACTACGATTTCTATATTCCTGATAAACGTGAATTCCAAGAAAAAGCAAATAATAGACGACAAAACTTTTATTCCAAAAAATTGAATGATTCAGCATTTTCCACAATGAGATCTAAATTTCAGAATAACGTAGACTCCGAGAAAAAGTATATTTCAAAAAGCAGATTATAGACAGCATAATGCAAAATTTCCCAAAAATGCTGGAGATTGAATTCAAACATTTTGAACTATGAATTATATTCCAGACTGCTAAGACTCGCGGAGTAAAAGTTCCAAAAGCAGACTATAGACAGCAAAATGTTTATTTCTCAAAAAATACTTTTAAAATAAATTTGTACGTTTTCAAGTACGAGATCTATAGTTCCGATTATAGTAAACTCCAATGAAAAGTTTTTCAAAACGCCGGTAACAAACAAAAATTTTATTTGTTATCAATACTTTTCTTTAATAAGCCGATTAAAGACCGAAACATTTGCATTCCCCAAAAATGTTATAAATATAGATTTGAATAGATTCAACTGTAATCTATCTGTATACCCTATAAATGAATGATTTTTCTTCAAAATGCGGTTTATACAGCATGTATGAATCATATACAATTAATTTTAGCGACAACGTTGCGACATTTCGGTTGCGGGTTCAACCTTTAATCTTCTGCACAACTCAAGCCGATCGGCGAGATCGCTGATTTCAACATCGGCCAATCCGTGGGAAAAAGTAATTCTTCAATACTTGATTGGGTTACAGAAAATTTCATATTGAACAACAAACAGAACAATAATGATTTTTTTAAAAATATAAACTAGGGCAAAGTAGATTATTTCCCCGGAAAGATTCCTGTAAGTGTTGTATGAAAAAAAAATATAACAACGCAAAACATGTTTTCAACTTGGTTTGGTGCTCGTACTGAAATACAACCTTTCATAAGTTACAAAAAATAATATGTACAGAAGTATTCAATTGAATTCTTCGCAGCAAATGACCCTAAAAATATCTATAGAATAATAGAACCAGAAACGAAAGAGGCTGCAAGAATATCAAGAACTAAAATTTAAAAAATTAGCACAGTATTATAATTTGAAATATAAAATTATCCACTTACATGTAGCTGCCTCGTCTTCTTATCATCAAATCAGCAATCCAGAAGTACTTAAATCACTTACACCTATAATTACACACGAAAATTAGTAAGCTATTTGAAAAATCTTCAAAATTTACATTAATAACTTAGTTCAAAAGAAGAATCAGTAATTAACATTTCCATCTGGTCATTCTTTCAAATTTCATTAAATGTCCATTTCACGAACATATAAAATTAGTCTTGATTTTGTAATATGCAAATTATTAGCAAAGAGTTATTTGAACACTAATCACCACAAGAACAAAACAAAAAATAACTTTGTAATTAATTTTAAGTACAACTAACGCGCACTACGTAAAATTAATGGCGACAAAGCGAACTTCCACCTGCTTTTGTACCAATTTGGAAAACAAACTATGAAAATAATTAATAAAAATTAATCTAAATGCAAACTAAAAGAGATAAACGATAAATATTCCTCAACTAATAAAAACGCAAAATGTTACCCTAAAATGTTTCTTTAAATGCACTCATCTTACAAGATTTTATTTTATAAAGAAACTTTACTTAATTTAAATATACAATACATGACAAAAAAAATTATTACAATTTTGTTGTACAATCAATATCTCAGATATTCACCTTGTTTTTCAATGTTAAAGCTTAGACAGTATAATGTGTGCATTTCTACAGGATTTTTATTCAACAAATTTGTGGTAAATATCATGCCTTACATAGACTTATTCCTAAATAGTAACTAAATAAAAACTATACACTAGTAACTGTTAAAAGCAGTTTCCTGAAAGAAATGTACATATTAATTTACCCAATTCTATACATCATCTATTTTTTGCTCCAAGTACTGATCAGATATAAAAGATGATGCAAACTAATTGTATTACTATGCTTGCAGCAAAAAATATGACAAACATTTTACATAAAAAAATACTTCTGTAATGAACAATTATAGTACATAAACTTATTACATTAAATATTATTAATAGAAGTAATTTTTGTACATAACTCTTAAATGGTTTTTGTAAGTTAACACGATAACTAAAACTCGAACAAATTTTTCAGGGTATTCACATATTTTCTCATCTTTTTTTATTTATATTTTCAAGAGTAAAAATATAAATTCACCCAGAATAAAACACATTCGTCAAGTTTAGTATTTATTATCTTCGGAAAAAATTAACAAGTAGAAAAATTAAAATCGCGTTAAATCACATATATACACAACTCCGTCCATAAGCACAACAAAAAATTGTCAGTATCATTTATTTATCATTAATTTAGCTAAAAATGATCAGATTACCTTTGAGATGATAGAATCTGATGGGTGCTGTGGCGGCGACTATGGTACAATAAATTTCTCCCAATGGCACCCTCTAACCATCGCGACTGGACCTCCAAGGAGCATCCTAAATATAATGTACAATTGATAGTGAGTGATTTCTATCTGGAAAGACTATGATACAATTTGTCTTGTGAAAACTCCACCTGTGTGTTATCGACCCTCAGGTGTTGAGGAAGCTTGAAGAAAAATTCATGTTTCAGGGACTCATCCAGTGTTATTCGTTTAGATGGATCATACTCCAGCATGAGGTCAATTAGTTCAAACAGAAGATGCTCATCTTCATTGTCAGAACACAAATATTTATGTAGAGGTTTACAATTCTCCCGAACATAGCGCCCCGAAGAACTTCTATCATCCCATTCCAGTTCACCTTTATAGAAATAGCCGGTCTTTGATTTTCTGGTCATCTTTGAAGGCAGTTCTCCCAGTATTCGCTCCATCATAGCAAAGTGCTCACGATTTTCATGCGTTTGGAACATGGTACTGCCATGGTACAACTCAAAAAGAATACACCCTATGGACCACACATCACAAGGTTGCGACCAACCTAATTCTAACATCACTTCAGGTGCACGATAATGTCTGGTTGAAACCACCGATGAATGATGTTCATGATCAAATGTAGCGCTTCCAAAATCTATCAACCTAATCTCACTGTTTCTTACTCGCCTGTAAGGTTTGGAACTGTATTTTTCATCAACAACAATGTCGTATTCTGAATTAACAAATAGTATATTCTCAGGTTTCAAATCGGTGTGAGTCAATTTAATTTGATGAAGGAAACGCACAGCAACACAAAGCTGATGAGCCATATGCCGTATCTGGTCCAGCGGGTAAGGCTGATAATCATTTTCCTTTAAAAAGTCAAATATACTCACACCTAACATTTCAAAAGCAATGCACATGTGGCCATAATAGTTTAACCAATTGTACATTCGCACACATAAGAATAAGCTGTCTGGGTCAAACTGTGAGATTTTCTCTAATACTTTGATTTCCAGCATTGCCGCATCCCTGTATTTCTCTCGGTTTTTAATAATCTTTAATGCAACTGTAGTCTGATCCTGTGAATCCTTAACTTTGACAACTTTACCAAATGTTCCTTCACCTAACGTACTAATAATTTCATATCTATCTCCAATTATATCACCAGGTTTGTACATGAGATGTCCCTCCTTATCATCTGCAATCGGACCTTCCTGATGCCTTTCACGCGTACTTGTTCGGCGGCGACTGGAATCATCTCCATGCCTGTGGTGTCTTCGATAGCTCCTTTCTCCTGAACTGCGCCTGTAACTGCGATGATGATCTCCGCTCTCGTTTCTCCTACGTGTATGTCTGTCTCTATTCCTGCTCCTACTTCTATGATGTCTCCTCCTTCTAGAAGAAGACCTCACTCTTATAGAATGGCGCTCATCAGAATAGTCCCTCCGATGATTTGTATGATTGTTATGCCGACGACTGCGGGATCGCGATCTTGTGCGAGAACGTGGCATTTTTTCTCGATATGAAGGCAGTTTTCTTTTGGAAACCGTCGCTGCGGGACGGTCTGAAGTAGAAGTAGTAGTTGGATTTAGGCAATTGAGGTTTGCAGAGGAGGTTGAAGGTTGTTGTTGCTCATCAACTATTCCATAACTTTCCCAGTTTCGCGGTCTGAAATGAATTGCCTTGAATTACAAACACAGGCAAATCATAGTTCGCTAGTAAAGTCGTGATGATCACTATTGTTCACACTTGAGTATAAAGTAACAGTTGATACTTTTTTCTTAAAATTCTTTTATTATTATTCCGCTAATATTATTATAAGCAATTAGCATTCAATGTAAATCTCAACTAAATGGATATATATATATATATATATATATATATATATACAGGTAATAAAATGTGTGTAGTTAGTAACAATCTTATAATATAAATGATTATGTCACGTAATATTAAAATGGAGATTTTAATTTTAGTTTTAGTCTGAATCAGGTTAAAACATAGTGAAAACTATTGTATCATGAACAACTCAAGCTACTCATAATGCCATTTCATACCAATTCTAAATTTAATTTGAAAACGATAACTACGATGCATTATTAATATCTTAATATCAATCGAATAGTAATGACACTTGGAAATAACTTATTTAAACGATTTTCTGTTAATAAAATTAGTACATCTGCACAGTGACTGTTTTAATATCATGGCATGGGGTATACATATTGATTAAGTTATTGCAGATAAAAAGCTGAAATAATATGAAAGAAGGTGATGGTTTGAGCACAAATATCGTATTTTATTAAATGGGTCACAAGCAGTTGCAATAAAGAATATGTAAAGCCATTGATATTAGTAAACATTGATCTCTATGAATCAGCATCTTAAGCACAGAAAAAGTGAAATCCAATATATCTATACTCACGTACGAAATGATCTTGTAGGGTCACAATTTGAACATTATCAACATATTATCAAATAAATAAATCGGCAAATGGTGTGTAATAATTGAAATTCCATAGTCTTGACATATTGATACGCCTGAATTTTCATCGCGTAAGCTTTGAATTAAAACACAAACCAAAAATAATAGAAAAACAGCTGTCACACGTCGGACGCAATATAACCTTAATTTTAAATCGTGTTAAAGTCTTTAATGTTAGATGTTAGAAAAAAGGCAATTATAAGATTATCTCACGTAAATGCCCTCCACATCATTTCTAGCATATTCTGCACGAAGTACTGAACGTCTTTACACCACCACCACGAGGGCCAATACTCGTACAGAGCTTGCATTGAATTAACGTAAATATTTCGTAAAAACACGTATTAAATTTTGTAACTTATTAAAAATATCTTACTCATTAAAAATTTTAACCATCTTAGTGGCACTCGATAAATATGTGGAACGCCATACAGAATTTTATTCACTCGACGCCACAAGATGGCTGCCAGCCACACTCAGAAAGAGAACACCATAGAACGACTGAACGGAACAAGCGTACAGAGTAGCGCCTTCTCACCAAGAACACGGTGCGATAGACAGGCCTGACACCGGCTGTGTCACGCACTATCGTTTACGTCAGTGCTGACACTCTGACGTTGGCTAAAACTAGTACGAAGTTGGTACACGGACAACGGAAAATAATTTAAAATAATAAACTATGAAAATGTTCGAATCAACGCAAAAAATATTAACTTATTTAAAGAATGATATATTATTGACTATTAGATTATAATAAATATGACTTCAAGTAAAAATTACTGCGAGATATATATACATCACTATTAAAAATTTATTTCTCTGTGGGCCGAACTTTTGTTTTATATAAGAAAAAATTAGGGGCACAAAACGTCAGTAGTTATATGCAAATGAAAAATAAAAATTCTCATTGCATAAATTTTGTAGCATTAATGATTTATATAATCATCACACTTCGGTGTATAAAAATGCTATTTCAGGTTGAAAAGCCTGAGGTTAAGATCATAAATGTGAATATTGATTGTCTGAACCAAGATATAGAATTAAGATTTATACGTCATCTTCTATATATATAAAAATAAGTCGGGTTTTCCTTCCTGACAAAAGAACTCCAGAACGCACGAACCGATTTCGACAATTTTGCATTCGTTGGAAAGGTCTCGGGCTCCGCAAGGTTTATAGCTAAGAAAATTAGTGGTGCATGGCATCTTGCCCTAATGCAAATTGCTGGAATTTCACGCACCGTAATTAAAAATTCGAATTATTCCTTTTCAATCAAATTTTTCCTTTTCAAATATAAAACAAACAAAAAAATTCTTTATATTTCTCATTAAATAAATTGTGTTATCACAAAGAAATAAGGTTTGATATCTTGAAATCAAGCTTTATTTTTATGTTATTAGGTATTCTAAATAACCCCAATCGCCAGTTTACATCTGTTTTTGAAAATAACAGAAGACGAAATTTATTCCTTTATTGGCCAATAATTCTCAGGATGCGAAAACTTTGCAAAGGAACTACTTAATTTATTAATCGCTGGAAGATATCGCGCTAACTCAATTTTCACAAGTTAAATTATTTGTTCCAGGCCTAATGTGATATCGTATAATTACTTATCTATCGATTTGCTCATTAGCAATGATCATCGGTAATTGTTTAATAAATCCTGCCGATATTAGTACTGTCCCCTCCCGTTTCAAAATTCTTTTTCTTTCATTGTGAGATGATTCTCTTGGCCCCAAGACAAAATCGGAGCCGACCAGTGACTGTACGAAAACACCTTTGGTACTAAAAACTCGGCATCCGTTCGGCGAACACCTCAGTGTTAACGGACAGCGCGCTACGCAAGCACGCCAGTTGAAACGCTCGCTGGAAATCATTTCAGAATTTCCTAATGCAGATAGATTATTGGAAAAATTCAGTTGATTCCTAGCTCGTTTATTAAGAGGAGGAAAATTACATGAAATTACTTTCGCGGTAAACTATAGTGCATTCGTTCGAGCGCAACTGGGTTTAAACGGTTCGAATTTGCGGAAGCGGCTGAACTTAGTTAAATCCGTTGTACAAGTGAAGGATTCGAAAATGCCGAATAAGACTAATTTTCAGTGAACTGTTTTTCATGCACAGTGATGTTTAAGAATGTGGAATTGTGATCTAATTGAAATAGTGATTACTTCAAAATGTGTTCGTTTAACGTCATAAGAAATTTAGAGTAAACTTTAGTAAGACAAGAAAGTGCCATTTAGAGAAGATAAACTGTGATCTTAGAAATTGGTGTGGAGTAGCAAATAATTAAGTAAGCTAAATTAATAGTAATAAAAACAGAACCTATATTACTACAGAAAAAAACTTACAATTATTCAAAAAATTAAAATCATAAAATTAAGTTTTATCGACCAAATAATTAACTCAATTGGCACAAAATTTTTAAATATTTCATTTATGTATCTTTCACTCATGGTATATTAAAAATCTAGGATTCCGCCAAATTTACAATTAATCATCAATTTTAGATAAAAATCGTATACGTCCATTTGTTGCAAACTAAAGCTTTAATAAAATTTACAATAAATCAATAATTTACGATAAAAATCTTAACATCATATTTTGCGACACCCCTTTAACATAATATTTATGAAATTGGCATCGTAAATTAAATTTTCATAGAACACACCATAAACTAGATAAGCACAAAATTTTAAGAATTTAACTTAAGCAGATCTCTTTAAAAACGCAAGGCTATAGTAAAATGGTAAAATCAAAAAAATCGTCTATTTTTGACCAAAATCATTACCATAATTTTGAAAAATCCAAATAATTTTTTTGTAAAAATCTTCATTATTATATTTCGATAATTGGCATCGTAAAATGAATATTTATTGAACTCATAATTAACTAAATAAGCACAAAATTTTAAGTAATTAATTTAACTATTAGGTATTTAATATATATTTCTGCTATTTGTCTAGAAAGCCAACTATTAAAAAATCGAAGCTTTTATAAAATTTTCAATAAGTCATCAACTTTTTAAGAAAAACTTTAATATTAAATTTTGGGATAATAACTATAATACGCTAAACCTTCTTAAGAAAGAATAAGTCTAAGAAAAGTTGAATTAACAATATATATATATATATATATATATATATATATATTATATTAAATGTTAAATATGAACAAAGCAACACAGATTTTTTAACAACTTTATTTTATAATTACAAACGTTTCGAGACCATGGTGTGCCTCATCTTCAATAAACAAGTAATGCAATTTCAATAAACAGTTACTTATTACTATACATTATTTAATATTTTATTTAAACTATATTTAACTTTTGAGTTAGACAAAAAAAGTTTAAATAAAATATTAAATAATGTGTAGTAATAAGTAACTGTTTATTAAAATTACACTGAAGATGAGGCACACCATGGTCTCGAAACGTTTGTAATTATAAAATAAAGTTGTTAAAAAATTTGAGTGTTGCTTTGTTCATATTTAGCATTTAATATTCGTTCCACTCATATCACAAAATTCTGTAATATGTATATATATATATATATATATATATATATATAAGGACTACAGATTTATTTATGGTAATAATTAGATAGTTCGGTAGCTAAGAATGCGTATAATATCATAATAAGAATTCGAAGAGTTAATGAGATTTCGTATCATTCAATTCATGATGATAAATCATGATGCATCAATTAATAGAACATCTGCTTGCAATATTATTATTAAACAAATGCATTGAATGAGTCTACGTACGGATATATATATATATATATATATATATATATATATATATATATATATATAATTAATATGTGTAAATAAGACATTGCATAACTGCTGGTCTTCGTGTAGAATACTCGAAGTCGGCGTGCAAGCGTACGCTGTGTAGAAAGTGAATCTTATTGAAAGCGAACCATGAAAAAAATACTCAAGAGTAACATCAAACTAAGAAATCGCCTCTACCTCCGTATTCCATCTTAGTAGATCCGACACAAAAACATTTACAAATTGCGAAAGACGGATATCAAAGCAATATTGCATATTTCGTAGAATATAAATTAAATAAAATTTGTTGGATATGTTAGTGATGCACCAAGAGATAGTTAAATAATGTCTTCACAGTGTCTACATAAAAGACTAATATCAATTTTCGATGGCATTTTATAAATTTATTAAATGATCTGTAGTGTATTAGATACGTACGAAATATAAAATTTGCAAACGTATCAAAAGAAAATATATACAAGACATAGAAAATCCAGAAATATTCTAAAATAAAATCGGGAATAAAAAAACTTGCTTATTCATAAAAATGCTATTAGAAAAAAATGTGTGCGCATACACATTTATAAACAAAAACATATAACGAGTGAAACCTTATTAATATTCCATAATAATTTCACCAAAATTAGTGTACATTATTCTATAACATCCTAGAAGCAAAAAAAATCAAATATTAACTTTATAATACCAAGTTATAACCCTTTACATTAATAGGGCTGTCCCACTCTATCGGGTACGGCAATTTACACTTCAACCTGGATCAACGTGTCATTCCAGGTTGCAGGAAAATTTGCTGTGCCGGTTAGACCTGGGACAGTCGTGTTACTGTAAATTGTTAAAAATAGACATGATAAATGATTTTCTATGATTAAACTTGTATTTATCGAGTACAACAATGATGATTATTATCTTCATAAGTATCTAATACTTTTTTCAACAATATTTTACACATTTGCAATGTTACACAAAAAATCTTGTTGTGTTGTTTACATTCCGAATTTATACAATTTTGTATTAGTCGTATTTTTCATAACTGATATAAAATAAAAACTAACTCGGTTCAAAGATTATTACTCCTAAATGCCTATTAAAGTTGCATAAACGTTAAATAAAAAGCTCCATTAAAGAATCAATCAAACATATTCTCCGTCATGTGAATAAATTAAAAGATTAAAAAAAAAAACAATATTTGCATAAAACTTTCTTAATTCATTTTTAATAAAATTGATTAGTGGCTAATTATGTTTTATAATATACAAAAAAATCCCGTGTATTGCTATATTACATAAAATTTAATGATTCGCTTGGCATATAATTTTGATAAGTGATATTCAAGACGATACCTATGAGTTCACTTTTATAATTGTCTTTAAATCAATTTGATAATTAATTTAATGCAATATTAATATCTGAAAATTTATAATTGATAATTTATGTAACTAATATTTAATAAATTCTTATAAGTTTCAACAAAAAATTATCTACGTTCTAAAATCAAAAACTATTGATGCGTTTCTATGACTAATGATAATTTTAAAGCATCTTTTCAAATACATTTTTCATTGTTTCGGTATCATTTTTTATGCCAAAATCAATGTCATGTGTGACCGAAATTTATACAATATAGAGAATACAGTTTGACATTGACTGTGAATAGCTTTGAGACAGTTAAATTTAATTATTGAAAACAATAAAATGATTTTATTAATATTGGTGTTTATACAAGTTCAACCAAATTTTTTGAAATTCTCTATACATTTTTTTATGTTTTTGTGTGTGTTTATGCAGATTTATTATACCAACAATACTATATTGCCCTATAAAAAGAATGATACACAATACAAGCAATTACGTGAGAGAAAGGCCAATTGAGATCCGCAACTACCGGATTTATTTGTAACAGTTCCATCTTCCTGATTTCCGACAACAATCATTTTTATGTTCAAGAAAATCTCATTAAAACTAATAAAATATATTTTAAATCGATATTAAAAATTCACCGTTAAATAATTGATAAAATACAAATTATCTACTGTTTACATCTAAATCTATTATAGACATTTATGCCATCTATTATAAAAATTACTAAAAGTATTGGAAAATAAATACTCAAGCCTATAAAAATCAATATACGCCATCCCAAATAATACAAGTAATCATATTTAATATAAAAAAGTTAATACCTCTATCCTTCGTCTATTCACCATTAGTAATATTTTCAATCACACTTATTTAGTATTCAAAGCAACAAACTTATCGACGCTTTCTAATAAAAAACGATGATGATAGAGTTTCATAATGTTTTGCAATATAGTAATAAAATGAATAATTAAATTTATACTTGAACTAAATAAATTACATTGAGGATTGATTTATTGAAGGCATTGCATATGGTATCAAAACACCATACCACATTATGTACATAGATTTCTATATAATACATATAGATAAAGTAAACACACAAAATTTTCCTTATATGATTATGTGCATAATTGTTTATACAAATATGCATATATTCTCATATTATTTTTAAATTAAATTACAATATTCTCATTTGTTATTACCTCGCAGGCATGCGCAGTATTTTTCTTATTATAAATATGCCGACAAATTTGCTTTTATAAATGATGATCCTTCATAACAATAATTCAATAATCTGTGTATAAAGGTCACACTTGTTTGCATCCATAAAATGAAAAAAAAAAAAACTTTTGATTCCGCCGCAATGACAGAAGAACAGATTGATAATACAGACAAGGTTATTGTCTACCTGTTGCAAAGGACTTCTTTATCGAGAACGGATTTCTTGGGAATACATCCTTCATGAGAAATCGAGTTGTTATGGAAATCGTATGCAAAACAATAAGGAATAATTTTCTTCTGAATGTATAATGAACGCATTATTCAATAAGATCTAAAATTTATAAAAAAATACATTTTGTATTACATTTTGTATAATAATTTAACTAAGAATGTTCAAATGTTGAAGTTCGTTAATTTTCTATCATTTAATATCGTTTCGTCATATCAATATTCTTCATCAAATAAAATTTCGTAAACGAAAAGTATTCAAACTTCAAAATAAAATACATCTTTATTAAATATGCGGAGCTTTCAAGCTTTGAGCTTTACGTTTACGACAGGGCGTCTCCACCGTATTTCCCTCCATGGAAATTGACACAAGGATTTGAGTTTATCAATAATTGATTTATATTTTAAATAAAATTTAAAAAATGTACAATCTCAATTTGGTAATACGTCCCTACAACTTACTAAATCATTCATAAAAAACTATATGCTTAATACTCTTTGAACAATAGATGTAAATATTTTATCCAAAATTATGTCAAACCCCATAATTGGTGTTTAGCCAAACTTCGAAGCAATTATGATTTCTAATCCAAACTATATTTGGTGTTACAGTCCTCATTTGAGTGTATAAAACGTCAAATACATATCTAATTATTATTTTATAAACCATTGGCATTAGACGGTTTATGATTACACGATTTTATCGTTAATGGTTTCCTATGAAAAGGTCATTTCATTGAGCAACAATACAAGACACTTGTGCAAAAACTATAAATCTTAGATGCAAAGAATACAAGATGCAAAAAATTAGTTAATATGTCGTAATAAAAAATACGAAATACTTTAAAATATTAAATTAAAATAATACTTAATATTCACTTTGAGTCGAGTAACGTGCAAATGTCATCAGAAACAAGTTTATCGAACTTGAGTTATTATAAATAAAACAGATTCGAGTTGAAAGTAATACAAATGCTAGTTGTTTTGTAAATACGATATCTTAATTGAGATAAATCCGCAATGTCATAACAATCTTCGTGATGTAAACTTAATATGAAATTAATTCCCACATCGAATGCTGGTATTTTAAATTCGTTTGCAAAATCAGAGTTATCGTGGGTAAAAAGATAAATTGCGACAGCAGATCTATTTACACAAACTAGGAAGTTTTGGAACCTATAATAATAATGATTTTTTGATACGAGATGTAATTGATGGGGAATTTTGATGACGTACATAATATTTACAAATTAGACTGACGAAAGTTTTTACTAATAATAATATATAATAATTAAAATTCCACAATAAACCAAACATCTACCTAATGTCACACAAAAAACTAAATCCACTATTCCACCAAAAAAACATCATCCTCATATTTTTGCTGCCATTTTAACGTCATATTCAATTTAGCTATGTTTGCTCAATAATCGATATTCAAATTTGCAAATTTTCTATTTATATAAATAAATCATATCTTATGTAACATTAATGATATGTGAAAACGTATAGAAATTCTACAACCGTATATACTAACAATATTATCTACAGGGAAATCGTACGAATATAATACAGATCCGTTATAAAATTATGTTGAAATAAAATTTTATTGCAAAATATAGTAAACAAGAAATATGAAGATGAAATGTAGTATATTGGAAATAAAATTGTAAACGTCTCAAAGGAGAAGTTGATGTTAATAAATATGTTCTCTATAAATGACCAGATGACGAGAGACAAATAAAATTTATGTGTATACACTTTTTGAGCATAAACAATTACAAATACTGTTAAAAACTTTATGAGATTTAAATTAACCTCTAGATTAACAGTATATGTAACGGTTTAATGCATTTTTTGTAATAAAATCCGCCGCCGATACTTCGATTACGTACTGCATCGTCGTGTCTCTCACATCTCGATTTATTTTACATCCAGTGCAAAGAAACTTATTGAAATCGAAAGTAATAAAACGTGTAATACAACAATCGAATTTTTATTTGTATTATCATTTTAATATGAAATAAAATGATGTATAAATCAAGCTTAAAATTGTATTCGTTTCCAGTTTTGATTTTTTATGACTCTCACTGCTGTGCGTCTCGATGGCGTCGCCGTTCGTGATTTATTCTTTGGCTTTATTACTTATTTATGCGTTTTGAATTACTCAAAGGAAAGTTTCTGTATATTACGTTATTGAAATTTGGCAAAAAGAAATATAATTAAATAATAGACTCTTTGAACCTAATAAAAAACCAAGTACCAAATACATTTTTTCTAAAGGCAAGTTGCAGGAACCTTCCCCTTCAGGTCAACACTTCAACAACAGTCCATCGCAAATTTTCAATAAAATATTAAAATGTTTTTTTTAATAATTAGTTACGTAAAAACGGCTTGGTCAATCCTCACCAAAAAACTGATCAACTATGTATTTCCAAGTTTTTGGATTTTCAGAATCAAATCAGGATTTTTCACTGCGAGTTCTTATTGATTTTCATAAAATGGCTTTTAAATTTTTGAAATTGGTTCAGCCATTGTTGAAAAATCTTCAACAAAAAGTGAAACTATGGTTAGCATTACATACATATTTTCATCAATTCTGATGTCAAACAAATTCTGATTCAGAATGACGACATCAGTTTCATGTCAGGAAAACATAAAATGAGCTAATCAGATTTCTTGGAAAACATTACCCTTTTCTTCTGGAAGTTAATAATTAAAAATTTCTATACATATTTTAGCTTTACCAAATTAAGAAGGATTGGAATTGAACACTCATTAATTTAGTTCTAGTATTACTCTATGAAGAAATTAATATTGCAAAATTATCAAATGATAAATTTCTATTATTGCAAGATACATAAATAGATTTATGAGTATCATATACGTTGCAAGACAAAATCATTTGCTTCTATTAATCTATCAATCTATTGCTTAATCCAAAAACAAGTACAAAATCATTAGAAACAATCATGATGAAATTTGTAAAAGTAATAATTTTGTATTCTTTGTTTTATGAAAATTTTTTTTAGATGTTTTATGTAAATATAAAAAAGCACAATAGAATGGAAAAACCATATAAATTGCAATAATCAACAACAAAGTCGTTATGCCGGGTATTTTTGTAAGGTAAATACTTATTTGTATCGAATGATAGTGTCAGCATTAAATTGATCACCTTACGCAATACTAATTGACTTATAAGCAAAAATTGTTATTGAATGAATTTCTTGATAATTTGAAGCCAATGAAAACGAGTAAAATTATTTCATCTTGTAGAAAATAACGTATAAATTTATAATTACGATTTGACATTAAATTACATATTTTTTGTTTCAGATCATGTCAAGACATATTATATTAATATCACTGACATGGCTGGCGTGGACTGCCCAAGCTTCAAATTCAAACGTAAGTATAATTTTTCTATGTATAAAATAACAGTAAATTTACATCTAAATAATAATAATTCAACTAAGTATTAATATGCAATGCATAAAATCTTGTAAATAAACATTCGCTTTCAATATGTGTCTGGTTATAATCCTAACGATCTTTTCTTAACATCTTAATATATATTCATTTAAAATCGTTTTGCAAATGCATGCAATGATACTTCTATAATTCTACTTTCAAATGATATATGATTAGTACAGTTTAGTAACAAATTTGCATAAACATTTATATGTGTGATTATTTATTAGTCGTAAAAACAAACATGGTCAATATAAAAAACAATGAAGTAGTAATAGATTAGTGAGAATGCTCATATGATGATCGTAACAGAATTTTGTTTAGCAAATGTGATATGAAAAACATCGATAAAAAATGATTAGCAAATGATGAATACCTTCTATGGATTATTTATTATTTGCATTTGAATAAACAGCTATCTGAATCAAATATTTAATTTAAGAAGATATTTATAATTTTATCACCAATACGACGCTTAAAGTTATGTGGTAATAATTTCTTTAGTTCACTTCTTAATTTTTTATTCTAATTATAATTTTGATTTATCGATAAATATGGTTATTTTATATGTTCTCCACATTTTAAAATTTAAAATCGTCATTAATTTGCTATTAAAACCGAATAATTTGCAATAAAACGAGAAAGTTAACAGTGCGACATTATAAAATAAAAATCTTGCACAAACTCGTGGGTCATATTAGCATACATTCTCACAGAAGATTTCATATGTTCATCTGAGATTCTAAAGAAAAAATAAAAAAAACAACTGATAATGAGATAAATGTCTCAAAGTGACAAACCAAGGCCTAAAGATTTTTTTGCTAAATAATAATTATTAGAAGGCGATGATAGATAAATTATCTTAAGTACTTAAATGCATTGCAATAACAAACAAATTAACAATATAATAATAGATGCAAATATAAATAATTAAAGCCCCTTTATAAAACTTAACAAACTTCATGATATAACTATTGAAATTATATTATTAGCGTATTTTTCTTTTATAGAATTTAATAAATAGTTCTAGAAATTGATCTGATTATGACAGACTAGTATATTGACAAGGTGATCGTGTATGTAACGGCAGCATTTTTGCTAGAGGCAATAAGATTATGTTATTAATAACGTTTTTCACATAATATAATTGCATTCAATTATATGAAACTTTTTCAAGTTTTATATTTTTTCTAAGTTAAATGTAAAATTACTGAATGCACTCTGCGTATAGCTCAAGTCTTATTTTTATATTGGCCTAGCATACAGCGATCTTCCACGACTAATTCTATTTCATACATGTAAAATTTTTGAAACCTACAATCAGTAGAATATTTCCAGAGCAATTCTTATAATAATTTCATGTATTTCAGAGATTTTTACTCAAGCAATTTTGTTTATTTGATTTATAGTATTTCTAAAATGCCATATTTATTTTTTAAGCATATAATTATCGTTATCGAATCGATATTCTGCATGGAGCTTTTGTACCAAAAAGCTGCTACCCCGGGGTGGGAGGCAGCACATAGTTAGACCGAGCTTATTCTTTTAAATTAAACATTTTTAAAAGATTCCCGTTCACAATCTGAAACTTCTTCAACTAATTCTATTTCATACATGTAATAATCAAATTAAAATGTTTGAAAAGCACTGTAGATAAAATTTTCTAGACCAATTCTTTTAATCATTTCATGTATTTCAGAGATTTTTACTCAAGCAATTTCATTTATTTTATATATAGTATTTTTAAAATGCCAAAATACGCCTTTTTGATTAAACCACCTTTATTTCTTAAGCATATAATTGTCGTTATCGAATCGATATTTTACCACAGCCAAACAAAAAAAAACAAATTTTAAATTATTCATTTCAGTTGTTAATAACCGGTACCCGACGCGATAAGTAAACTGGCCGTTCATATTACATAAACAAATGTCAACACATTGCGAATACGTGTTTATAAGTCAGAAATTGTATCTTGAATTAATTTCAATGAACTTGCTAGCTGACATTAAATCAATCAAGTCATCGATATCGTTCATTTCCTGAAACTTTATCTGATTGTATTGAATTTTTGTCCTACTTTGCGGATTAAGAAACATGGATTCGTGCATTGCTAATGTGTGACTATTGAAGATGTCGAAGGCGTGGCCTAGTTAGAAGAATAATGCAAGATCTATTTGCATATGTAATAAAATATTTTATAAGAATAGTAATAATATAAACTTATAAAGACAACAATAACTAGGTGTAAGTGTAAATTGTATCACATCTCTAATAGAGTATTAAGTGGTCCCTTAATAACAGCTCTTAAAATGGACATTGATGTTCGTCAGTTATATAATTTCAATATCATTATTATTATAGCTTTCATTAATTTATCCATATAATTTTTATTTATCTCTGTGAAGTCGTCAGAGCTTTGACTCTATATTTTGGTCTTACAAGCACCAACAAAGATAAATTAGATTCTAGAATTTGCAAATAAGTATCTAATATAAAAAACAAACTACTTGAGTCTTATTAGACATATCCTTGGACATATTGGATAATTATGAAGTACGACATGTCTTTCCATTGCAAAACACGCATTTCCTAATTAACCGCCGACGCATAACATTATGTAAGCAAATTGTCTTCATACTATTTTCAAAAACTTGAAATGCAAATATAGTAATTGATAACAAGCCAACAATTATTTTATCATCATAGATCAAAATTTCAATTAAATAAGCATTGTTAACAAGCTATGTTAAAATTTGTTTGCATGTGTACCTGGATTTTTATATAATGTGAATGTAATTATTGACCGCAAACATTACGTATTCTTGGACAGTGTGGGTGTTTTTAAAAGAATCAATATGTAACAAAAAAATATCATGCAAACAAATAATTATAATGATTTATTGCGCATTTGGATAGAATTATATAAAGCTATTTGTATTAATTTAGCGGCCAATAAGCTGAATTGAAAAAAGAAAAAAAAAAAGTCGCACACCTGGGGTCAAAACGTATAAATAAAAAATGGACTATATTTTTTTTTTCAAACTTTCAAATTTGTTATTAATGAAAACTGCTGTGAACTTAATGAGTGATAATAATAATCAATAGGCATTTTGTCCCAAAGTAGGGACCCAGAAAGGACAACTTGCAACCTAATTTTGCAACAATTTTGGTGTTAGGTGAAATTCATTGAAAATAGTCAATAAATTAAAATATGATTATTCTACCTTCTAAATCTATTAAAATCGCAGTCAAAAAACTCTTCATACAAATTTATCCATATATAGAGAACTCCTAGTTTGCAATATTGTGCAAATAAATTTAATCTTGAAGTTAAACCTTGTCTAATTATTTACTTAAATTTGCGTACGTAAAATGTATGTTTATTTTCTTCCGAAATTCAGTGAATCATGGACATTTTTGAAATTATAAAATTCCTGAAAATATGTTTTGTTTGAATAATCATAACACCCAGCAACATATTAATTCGTGTAAATTAATTAAAAAGAACCTAGTTTGGTAAAACCATTATTAATTAAATTAATATTATTTATTTCATTTAAATCGGGTAAATTTAAATTAAATTTGATAAGTTTGGAATTAAAGAATGATCAGTCTTAAAATCTTCATTGCTTATTCAAATTATGATTCAATAGTGTACTTAAATAATTGTAAGAATGTTGTAGGACAAATATTGAAATAGCACTTCACACAACAAGTCTTCAAGAATCAATGTCACTAACCACATTAATAATAGGCATTACATAATTTTGAATAATCTTTCAATTTCAAGTGATGTAAATTTGAATCTAATGAATCCTCCTTCTAAATCATTAATTAATCTTAACAGTCTTAGATAGTATTAAAATGCCTTTAATATACGTGTAAGTACTTGTACAAACTATCTGTTTGTGTTTCTATTATATGGCTTGATTCAAAGAAAAAAAAAACATTTGATAGCTTTTTTACTAAATGCGGAAGACATTTATAAACCTTTTGTGAATAATAGGTTATTATTATTTGTGTAGAAACTTCGAATAAAAAGTGAAATCAAGCAGAAAAAGATCGTGGAATTGCGACGCGTTTGATACTACAGAGAAATAGAGAATGCAGATTTGAGCTTGTATTCACATTGTTCTGGAACAGAAATTACTTTAGATTATATATATATATATATATATATATATATATATATATATATATTAATGCAATCTCGATAAATAATGAATCAAACCCAACGATTACATTTATTAGTAAATCCTACAATGGCATAAATGCCCTGTATCCAATCAAGTTTATTAAAATTCTTCATACCCAGTAGCACAAGGTATAACTATATATATATATATTAATATATATATTAATGCAATCTCGATAAATAATGAATCAAACCCAACGATTACATTTATTAGTAAATCCTACAATGGCATAAATGCCCTGTATCCAATCAAGTTTATTAAAATTCTTCATACCCAGTAGCACAAGGTATAACTGGTTATATTGGATAAGCAATTATGATTATTATATTTTAACGACATTTCTCGCAACTTCAAATTGACACCGTGAGTAATGATTCCGTCGGAGCTTGTTTTCGACGCGGATCGCCCTTGAGGGCCGCCACGTGCATATTATTCGAATATCAACTTAAAATAAAATTTTATTATTCATAAAAAATTTAATAAATAATAATAAACATAGATTGATAATAAGCTATATGGTTATTTTGCGGCGTGTTTTAAAAATAGGTTGATTAGCCCCAGCGCAGGCCCGAAAGCGCTGAGGTTAATCTGCAACCTAATTTCGCGACAAATTTAGGGTTAGCGATCACTCATTGTGTCTTTCTTTACCTTCCGCGTTGTATTTTCAATAGAAACTATTTTTTTCATGAAGAAAATATGTCTGATGTATGTGTACTATTTACATAGAAATGCATTTAG